CTTAATAAACGACACATTTTGCATCCACGAAATATCTGCAGTGAGTTAGTAAAGAATTTGAAGTACAAAACTGGAACATGTTCCAAACAAAAAAAGAAAATGTCTTCATACAAGTTTTAATTAAAAGCGGTACTTGAAAATAAAAAAAATAAGATTTTGAGTCAAACAGATACAGGTTTAAGTTCTCACATTTAATAAAACACATCACGGACTGCACGTGGTTTGAACACGTGTACTTTAAGCTCCCTAAGATCTATTTTATTTCAGTTAATATTTACATATATATTTTCAAAGAAAAAGATGCATACGAATCAGTATTTAATTTCTTTTTTATTTCTGCCCTGCATTACCTTTGAAATATATTTGATGTGTATATATTTTTTCCGTGTGGCTCTTGATTGAGGAACGAAAATAACATTAATATAACCTTTCATAACTTATTCAATTTGTAATATCAACGAAACACTAAAACAATAAATAAACAAGCGTATGTCCAAGCGAACTAACTCGTACTATATATAGACATTTTTCTTTATCAGAGTTACCGAACTGCAACATGGCCTTAAAATGAAATATATTTTAGTTAAGTGTGTGAATTTAGCACGGAGTTTCACATAAGACATTCAGCAGGACATTGAAATTTTCACATCTCGTCAAAAACAAAACTGAAACAGGTTAACACAGTTTCTAAAAAATATATTAAGTACTTTATTAAGTACTTTTGTACTAAATATAATTATATGTATCACTTCTTTTTTTTCGGGAAATGGGGTAAAGTACTAAATATACACGTATATGTATCATTTCTTATTTCTTTGCCGGGAATGAAGTAGAGTACTAAATATATATGTATCATTTCTTGTTTTGTTTTTTGCGGGGAATGAAAGAAATTGAACAAAAAGCATATATCAAATATCAAAACATATTCCAAATGAAAAATACTTCAGTTTACATTGTTTTTGATAGAAGGAGGGTTGTAGAGTGGGTAAAAGGAGGTGGGTGGGGGAGGGGGGTAGTGACCAATCAACGCTCCGAACACCTGTGGTGCTGGCGACATCGCCAAAATTTGATGAAGCCAACACAATCCTTTCAATGTTCTGTAGCGTCATTCAGCAGGGCAATTAATTATTTTACGAATCCCGTGCTGGCACGATATACAGCACGACACACAGCAGGATATTGAAATTTAACCAAATGTTCTGCTGGCACGATAATACAGCAGGATATTGAAATTAACCAAATGTTCTGCTTACGACAAACAGCAGGATATTGAAATTTAACCAAATGTTCTGTTGCACGATAATACAGCAGGATATTGAAATTTAACCAAATGTTCTGCTTGGCACGACATACAGCAGGATATTGAAATATAACCAAATGTTCTGCTGGCACGACATACAGCAGGATATTGAAATATAACCAAATGTTCTGCTGGCACGACATACAGCAGGATATTGAAATATAACCAAATTCTGTTGGCACGACATACAGCAGGATATTGAAATTTAACCAAATGTTCTGTTGGCACGACATACAGCAGGATATTGAAATTTAACCAAATGTTCTGTTGGCACGACATACAGCAGGATATTGAAATTTAACCAAATATTCTGCTGGTACGACATACAGCAGGATATTGAAATATAACCAAATGTTCTGTTGGCACGACATACAGCATGATATTGAAATTTAACCAAATGTTCTGCTGGTACGACATACAGCAGGATATTGGAAATATAACCAAATGTTCTGATGGCACGAATACAGCAGGATATTGAAATTTAACCAAATGTTCTGTTGGCACGACATACAGCATGATATTGAAATTAACCAAATGTTCTGTTGGCACGACATACAGCAGGATATTGAAATTTAACCAAATGTTCTGTTGGCACGACATACAGCAGGATATTGGAAATATAACCAAATGTTCTGTTGGCACGACATACAGCAGGATATTGAAATTTAACCAAATGTTCTGCTGGCACGACATACAGCAGGATATTGAAATATAACCAAATGTTCTGTTGGCACGACATACAGCATGATATTGAAATTTAACCAAATGTTCTGTTGGCACGACATACAGCAGGATATTGAAATTTAACCAAATGTTCTGCTGGCACGACATACAGCAGGATATTGAAAATTTAACCAAATGTTCTGTTGGCACGACATACAGCAGGATATTGAAATTTAACCAAATGTTCTGCTGGCACGACATACAGCAGGATATTGAAATATAACCAAATGTTCTGTTGGCACGACATACAGCAGGATATTGAAATTAACCAAATGTTCTGTTGGCACGACATACAGCAGGATATTGAAAATTTAACCAAATGTTCTGTTGGCACGACATACAGCAGGATATTGAAATTAACCAAATGTTCTGTTGGCACGACATACAGCAGGATATTGAAATTTAACCAAATGTTCTGTTGGCACGACATACAGCAGGATATTGAAATTTAACCAAATGTTCTGTTGGCACGACATACAACAGGATATTGAAATATAACCAAATGTTCTGTTGGCACGACATACAGCAGGATATTGAAATTTAACCAAATGTTCTGTTGGCGCGACATACAGCAGGATATTGAAATATAACCAAATGTTTTTCTGGCACGACATACAGCAGGATATTGAAATTTAACCAAATGTTCTGTTGGCACGACATACAGCAGGATATTGAAATTTAACCAAATGTTCTGTTGGCACGACATACAGCAGGATATTGAAATTTAACCAAATGTTCTGCTGGCACGACATACAGCAGGATATTGAAATTTAACCAAATGTTCTGTTGGCACGACATACAGCAGGATATTGAAATTTAACCAAATGTTCTGCTGGCACGACATACAGCAGGATATTGAAATTTAACCAAATGTTCTGTTGGCACGACATACAGCAGGATATTGAAATATAACCAAATGTTCTGCTGGCACGACATACAGCAGGATATTGAAATTTAACCAAATGTTCTGTTGGCACGACATACAGCAGGATATTGAAATTTAACCAAATGTTCTGTTTCTGCTAACCAAATGTTCTGCTGGCACGACATACAGCAGGATAGCAGGACATAACAGCAGGATATTGAAATTTAACCAAATGTTCTGTTGGCACGAAACATACAGCAGGATATTGAAAATTTAACCAAAATGTCTTCTGCTGGCACGATAACCAAATATTCTGTTGGCCAACGAAATACAGCAGATTTTTAAATTTAACCAAATGTTCTGTTGGCACGGACATACAGCAGGATATTGAAATTTAACCAAATGTTCTGCTGATATTGGCACGACATACAGCAGGATATTGAAATTTAACCAAATGTTCTTTGCGATTGAATTATACAGCAGGACATACACAGATATTGAAATTTAACCAAATGTTCTGCTGGCAGGACATACAGCAGGAATATTGAAATTTAACCAAATGTTCAGTTGCAGACATTACAGCAGGATATTGGAAATTTAACCAAATGTTCTGATATTGAAATTGAAATTTAACCAAATGTTCTGTTGGCACGACATACAGCAGGATATTGAAATTTAACCAAATGTTCTGCTGGCACGATAATACAGCAGGATATTGAAATTTAACCAAATGTTCTGCTGGCACGATAATACAGCAGGATATTGAAATTTAACCAAATGTTCTGCTGGCACGACATACAGCAGGATATTGAAATTTAACCAAATGTTCTGCTGGCACGACATACAGCAGGATATTGAAATTTAACCAAATGTTCTGCTGGCACGACATACAGCAGGATATTGAAATTTAACCAAATGTTCTGTTGGTACGACATACAGCATTAAAACTTTACCGAATTAAAAAAAAAACACTAAGATTAGAGCACTTGTGATCGTTTGTTATTATAGTCTACAAAACAGATTATTATAATTGGACTTATTTTATTGTGTTGTTTATAATAATATCATCACATCTGCTTATAGCTGAAGCCGGCGCTAGGAGCGTGAGAGATATTAAACATTTCATTGTCTATCACAAACGCAGTCGAACTACAAGTCTGCAATATTCATCTCTTTGCTATATGTGTCACATCTACAAAGTAGCGGCGACATATAGGGATCACTTCTTCGGCGCCTTCTGTCCGCGAAAATATCCATTGGTCTATGAGCTTCATTCCGTTCCTATTTTTTCTTAAAAAAGAAAGAAATCTCATAAACCGACAAAACTTGTCCGGTCTACTCCTCAGAAACTACTGGTGTAATTCCATCCAAACTTTACAGGAATGATCAATACCAAGTGCAGTTGTGAATATTATCAGTACTTTAAGGTTCAATGATTTTTGTCAGTGTTATGGCCCTTTAATGATTTTTATTTTTAAAGTTTGTCATCCGTTACAGCCGGTGGTTCTCCTCTTTCTGAAGATTTTTACTCAATAACACATGGTGAGTGAATAGAATTATGAATTTAAAAACACGTCTGCATCGGTTTCAAATCTGCCTTTGTCGTACCAACTAGTAGGCAATGGGGACTTATGCAAAGTATCAAGCACTGAACAAGCAACATAAATGTTTGGATCGTAATGGTTCACGGAAACGTATGAAAATCTTTCTAGAAAATCTTTTTTTCTACAAAATCTTTTTTAGGTCAATAACGCAGACAATATCTTAACATTCATTTAGACAAAGATTCATTACAACACACGTGAAATATGTACGGCAGATAGCAGCCTTACTTTCTGCACTGTACGTCTGATATTGGATTATAGTGCATAGGACTTTTCAGATAAAAAATACACCAACCGCGTTTAATTCTATCACTTGACTTCCATATTAAAAACAAGGGCATTTATTCGACATGCGGGCGAGATATGGCGTAAATTTTGAATAATGGTTAGTAACAAAAGGTTCAACAAACAGCATCAGTTTTATTAGAAGTCATACGCACAGTACTTTAAAATACCATCAAAATGTAGACACCAATGCTATTCTCTACTTCCGGTTTGTAAGCAAATATTGTACACTTATTTTCATTCAATTATTGTACTCGATTTTAGAATGATTCAACAATTTCGAGAAAGCACTATATATAGTTAGCACAAATATTTATTGTAGTGAAGGTTAAACGTAACTACTTCAGTTTAGCCACTTTTAAATGCAAGAACAATCTATATTAGCATACTTTATAAATCATTTGTGTGTATTCTTACCCATTTTTTTTCTTGAATAATCTGTAACATGGTGGCAAACATGTTGAGGCGGTCATTATTTTTCATACAGTCATTTTTGATTGCTGAGATATACGTATTTTCTCATTCAGCAAATCCTACATATACACATTTGATTAACATGAAAGCCATATAATAAGAGGCTGTACCAGTATTAATTTGTCACTTTATTTTATAAATTGTGGCAAAACGTTTGTTATTTTGAAACAGTATAAAATTTAATGGTGACAAACTTAAATGTTAAGAGCATCACGGGCCTCCCCCGATCTTCACACCAAATTCAGTGACCGATTTAATTGTTTTATTTTCACGATCATCTATGTTATTCATATCTCTATTTGTGTCGTCTGTAAGATCATTCAATCTCGTATGACCATGTCCGTCATCAAGACTTCCTGATTTTGGAATCGTGCAAGATTCTTTTCCTGAAATAATAAGTAAACGATCATGTATTTTCAGTTAAATATTTGGTAACAGGGTATTTATTTTAACTTGATTATGATGAAATTGAGTGAGTGTCCGACACCTTAACCACTATGCCATCCTTCCAATTTAGAGGGTTTTTTGCCCATATTCATACTTATAAGGATTCATCTGGATAAAAAACATATTCTAGCATTTTTAGAACACAATGTACTTCAATTTCATAACAAACAATTTGAAATGAAATTATCTTACACCTGTATTCCTGTATTCCATTCACCCCAAAAGTGCTGCGTGCACCTAGCTAATAACATGTACCTAACATTTTGTAACTTCTTCGACTTTGACAAGTAAATTTAATTCATATAATTTACATACATGTTTTTTTAGCTTGCGACAAAATTAATTTTTGAATGATGAAGATTTTTTAAGTTGAGTAAAATAAGAATACAGAATTACCATGACTAACCGTTCTTAATTTTTGAGAATAAACCCCGCCCCTTTTCTCTTGACGGATTATAGCTTAAAACATCTTTTAGATGGTTTTGAGAATGGATTTTCTCATTTTTTGAGAACATGACAGTGATTTTGTCAGTATGCATTTCTTTGTTACTTTCAATTGATTCTTCTCCTGTGTGTGTATCTTCTTTTACAAGCTTATCAGCCAATGTCTGGTACCCAGCAAGGTTGTCCAAAAGCTGTCGGGATCCTGAAGCCTCTATTGATGAAATTGCAAGCGTAGATGAAGGTGTAGGGATATTCAAAACTTTGTTTCTTTTACGGAATTTGGCTCGCCTGTTCTTGAACCAAACCTAAACATTAAGCAATAATGATTTTCGACTGTAACATAATATTATGTAACTTGGATGACGACACTTCAATTCTATAACTTTGAGGCCATTGTAAAAGAGCGTAAACAGGAAACAAACAAAACAATAGTTTTGATGATAAACAAATGAATTATGAATGTACACTATCCTTACATATCGCACTTGGCATTTTGAACATATTTATAGTTGACGATTTTTACAGACGACATAGCACGACGAGAATGTATACAATTGATTCGCAAATGCGAAGTGTGACGCATTGTATTCAACACGATATATCATGACAGTTGCTGGAACTCATTAACCAATTGTTCGTATGCCATCACAGGCAAATATGGCCTTTTTCAAGTTTGAAAAATATCATTTAAACTGCGATTATCATGTATAAAATCGACCTGTATAAGCAGGCAAGATAAAAGGAAGAGATCGAACCTGTATTCTAGCTTCCGGAAGACTGGTCATCATGGCAAGCCTCTCTCTCATGACAACATCCGGGTAATGAGTTTTCGCGAACGTTTTCTCTAATGCTGATAGTTGTTGATTTGTGAACGCTGTCCGACTTCGCCTTTGCTTTCTGTGCGGACCATACCGAGCCTCAAATATCATATCTGTAATGAAATATCAAAATAAAGATAACGCTGCATTGCTAATTTATAGGGACTGATAGTGATCATTTTTTGACAGCATCTAAAATACTATTAGTAGTAGCGTCGTAAATAATGAATAGACATATAACTAACTATAAGATACATATTTCTAAACCTCCAAATAATTATTATTAGTATCAATTTTCTAAATATAATAATAATAATAATAATAATAATAATAATCATTAATATTATTATTTTTATTTTAATTATTATTATTATTATTATTATGATTTAGTGCACTCTTGTTCTACTGGGAAAACATGCATATATAAGTACCAGTAATTTCTCGCTACGAAACCTGGGCGAGACCAAAATAAAAAAAATCATGACAAAACGTATTCAAAATGTTACTTGACAAAAAATAATAATAAAAAGAGGCGGTTTAGAAGTATGTTTAATGTGATGAAATGTTAAGCAACAATAGAGTCTAGATTAATAAAACATTATCTAAAAAAATAATGATATTGAAACAAACAGATCATGTACAAAACAATGGCTTAAACAATTTTCGAATGAAGTGTCACGAATGAAATCAACTGAAATTCGTAGTAAACAGTATACAGCAATTCATTTTAAACCCATACCATACTAAAATCTTACATAGACGTTATAACAAAATGTTACATTTACAAATAGAAAAAAAGACTAAGTTATAGAAAATCTTAATTTCATCATTTTAAATGTTAAGATAGTACACATGCCTGCCAGTTTTTCTGCGAGTGTAAATGGATGAAGTTGGTGAGGTTGAGGTGGGTAACTCTGGGTAACATAAGGGGGTGGTAATCCTGGTCTAGATAGACACATGGGGTGGGGTATCATCGCCGGTGGGTGAGGAAATCCCAATAGCCCGGAGGTATACTGATGATAAGGCGAATGAACGCTCTCGTATGGAACTTGCATTGTGCCCTGTAAAATACAAATGCGGAAATTGTTTTAAAAGCATGTGAATGTGGTAATTGGAATGTATTATTTGTATGTGATACATGTGAAATATCATTAGAAATCATTTTATAAAGTTTTGATTTGATGTAAAAAGAAAAAAAATCTGCTATTTCCAATTTTAACACATGATCCCGTGTTCACTTTAAAAAGCTATTAGTAAGTATTATAAATATCTGGAATAACAGAACGAATGCCATAATACCTGGATAAAAATAAGGATCAGATCAATATTTGGATCAACTTTCAAATGCACATATCTTAAAAAGTAATAATTCAAAAATTCAAGAACTGGTGCCATTTCAAGTGCATTTATAAATTAAAATCAAATATCAATAATCTATGAGAAAAATAAAACATTAAGTTCGTGATCTTGATCCTTATCCTCAGATAAACACAAATATATCGATATATAAGAAATACCAACTTTGTGGTAAAAAAAACACATTTAGGTAAGTTTTTTAGCAATCTAAACGATTAAAACATTAAAATATTGCATGAGAAACTTTTCCATTTTATAATCATATTTATTCTAAACCAAGACAAAGTTTATAATCATCTTACTTTATAAGGCAAGCCTACTGAGGTAGGTGCAACTTCTCTGCCGAACATGGATGGAAGGTTTCTTATTTCTTGTAGAAATCGCAACCGGCAATAATCTGTAATATTGTTGCTCAGATGTAGAATTCTTGTTCTGCTCTTGTTAATGTTTTAAGACCATAAAACTGTAGAAAGTCCTTGCATTGGTGCAATCTGTGAATAGAACCTTTTATTGTGTAACTTTTCTGTATTTTACCAAAATATTTTTTCCAGAAGCGAATTTTCTATATATGCTGCAGGTATCAGTACGGAAGCATGGAGAGGACATAGTCGATTTATTTTAATAATCTGTGGGAACAACTTATTTGTCGAAGTATTTTTTATTAATCTGTGGGAACAACATGTTTTGTGAGAAAAATCTTTTTTTATTCTGTGGGAACAACATATTTTGTGAGAAAAATCTTTTTTTATTCTGTGGGAACAACATATTTTGTGAGAAAAATCTTTTTTTATTCTGTGGGAACAACATATTTTGTGAGAAAAAATCTTTTTTTAATCTGTGGGAACAACTTATTTTGTGAGAATTTTTTTTTTATTCTGTGGGAACAAACTATTTTCTGCTATATTTTTTTCAATATCTTGTTCCCTCAAGATAATAAGTTGTGCGAACAAATTAATTATGTTGTTCCCACAACATAATTCAACCAATCAAATTCTTGCATCTTGTTGTCAGAAAAATGGATAGAGATGTTTTAATTAAACAGTATTTTTTAAAAAGGGACTTAACTTTGCAGTCACTCTTTGTGGCAATCGCTATTTTGATTGGTTGAATTATGTTGTGGGAACAACATAATTAATTTGTTCGCACAACTTATTATCTTGAGGAACAAGATATTGAAAAAAATATCGCAGAAAATAGTTTGTTCCCACAGAGTAAAAAAAAGATTTTTCTCACAAAATAAGTTGTTCCCACAGAATAAAATTTTTTTTTTTACTCAAATTAAGTTGTTCCCACAGAATAAAAAAAAGATTTTTCTCACAAAATATGTTGTTCACACAGAATAAAAAAAGATTTTTCTCACAAAATATGTTGTTCCCACAGAATAAAAAAAGATTTTTCTCACAAAACATGTTGTTCCCACAGATTAATAAAAAATATTTCGACAAATAAGTTGTTCCCACAGATTATTAAAATAAATCGACTATGTCCTCTCCATGCTTCCGTATATCAGAAACAAAATTGAGTAGAAACGATCTTTCCAACAATCAAAACAGTTTCTGTATATATACACTAGCACCACTGGCAGTTCCAATGTCTATGTCAAATTCTAGCAAGATTTATTTACCTGAGTTTTGAACTGTTTACTCCTCACTCCGGTGCTTCCTGGAGGAAATTTACTTCTCTTTTCAAATTAGATGTTCTTACTTCCGCACAGTAATGAGAGTCCTTCTCGCCTTCTCTAAATCAGAATGAGCCGCGCTGCTTGAGGGGCTTGCATTGTGGTTATACACTGAAGCCAGAAAAGATCATCTTACACACTTTTGGATCACTCTGTTTTAAAAAGTGATTAATGCGTTTAAAAATCTACTAACTAGTTGACATAAATGATATGAGGGTTAAAATTAAGTGTTTGAAATATCGTATAATCCGTAATTGTTTGATAATTAAACAGATCACCAAATTTGGCAAAGTTTACATCAAGTGCTTCCTTTACAATTTTGATTCAACGTAAAGATCAGATTACCCTTGACGATTATCTTCGTGTCGATTCAAGTGCGGTTCCTACTGCCACCCAGGGTATCAGAGCCCATAAGTAGCCCTTGGGTGGGTTTAGGAAGTATTTGGTTCGTCTAATCCGTTTACATAAAAGCTCAACTTGCGTGTGCTTAATAGGTAAACTGATAAACTTGTATTTGATGACCACTTACTCTTTTCTATGAGATCGTGTACATTTGAAAAGATATTTGAGGCCAACTAACTTTATAATACTAAGCGCTTTACACAAATAAATTTGGAACTTTTCATAAACATTTAATGATTTCAATTTCTCTCTGTGCGCTTTAATTATTCATTAAAATCAAATTAGAAAAATAACACCCACACGAGAAACAAGTCCAAATGAAAATTTGTATTTTAGTTTATACACTGATTAGATTCGGTAATGAAGAATTTTGTAAAGCAGCTGACCTCCAGAAGGTAGCAGAAAAACTGCCATCTTACTAATATTTCAAACTCCCCCCCCCCCCCCCCCCCCCCCTCAAAAACATTATGTATTTGAAAGAAATCGAAATGACGCTTCAAAATGTTCATATTATAACATTATTGCTCTGAAAACAAATAAATCGCTTTTCCGCCAACGGGAAATACCTTCTTTTATTATATTACGGAATTATTTCATCCGGGTTTTTTTTCCTAGTATCACGTGATTGTACAGGACAATATCGCGACCTGTGCTCCGGAACGCACGGAATCCTCGATCGTATCAAACATATAGTGAAACGAATAACTGCTTTTGTTTTTATATTTGTAGTAATTTATTGCACTAAAATTATAATTGCTTCATTATATCATATATATGATGATCAATTTATCGATTTATCTTTAGCTTGAACTTCTCAATAACAATAATTGATATATGATCCGGGCATACCGGATACCGGAATTTTTTCCGGACCATTGTTGTGACACGTGACCGTGTTAAATGAATTATCTTCTCCTATTTAATTGGCTACTGCGTTAGTAACGTAGTAGATTATGGAAAAGAAAACCCGATATATTAACGCTTTTGTCAAGATTCTTTCTTGAATAAAGGTGTCAGTAATGATGGGTTTATACAATAAACTTAACTAGATCAGTATTTACCGTTTACTTGAAATATTATTTCTTTTTTTTTCATTTTACCATCAGACGATTCAAACTTAATTAGAATGTTTGGTATCTCATTCCATGATAATTTTAGTATCAAAGAAATAAACATTATAAGTTTATCATTTAGAATAACTTGCCTCAATTGAATATACATGTAGTTTGTTTCATCATTTATATCAAATGATAAAAGAGATACTACTTATTCAAAAACACTGCATGCTATCGTTAAGCATCTTTCAAATAAGCGAAAGGGACGCACCGAGATATTAAAAGATACTATTGTTATACTATTGTAAATTTATGATTCAGTTACCAGTATATCACAATGACGACCAGAAAAATAAGAACGGAGGCAATGTCATACAAAATGCAATTTCCTATTTTGTTATGCTTTACAAAAAAAATAATTTGCTTGTTCCTACAAAAGAAATAATCAAATTAACAGAATAAGTTCATTGTCTTAAATAAACTAAAGCGAAATGTGTTAAATAGCTCTTACCTTGTGTATCGGGATATTGAAAGTGCCGCTAATCAAATGTTTTCACCCAATTTAAATATTCGATTAACTAAGAGGATCTTGGACGATACATACTCATTTTTGGTTGATTTGTTTATGTAATCTCACATTACAATATTTCAAAGTGAGGCCCGTCTTGTATGGAAATAGCTTCGTAACAGCCTAGCACCCTTAATTAAGTTGGCAGCTTAGCAGTCTAAAGTAAACGTCATATACTACACATACTGAACCGACAAAATACATTATGATAACTTCCTGAGGTCATTAGAAGCATATTTAATATGAAAAAACTATATCTGGACGCGAATAAATATATAATTATCCTTCGTACAGCCCAGCAGACAAGCAGTGTAAAGAGACACATCTATAATGACCTAAGAAAGTGATTATATAATGCTTTCGGCCGTTTCCTTATGTGCAGTTTATGCCACTTACTTTAGGCTACTTCGCTGCCAACTTCAGGCTGTTAGGCTGCCAATTTCACGAATTCTGACAACCAACGAATGCACACATAGTTGGATAAACAAGATGGTAATAGGAGAGTTGGTCTAGGGGTTAAGATGTCTGTATCTTAACTTCGATTCTAACGGACAATCACGACAATATATGGCACACGTGCTGGCTAGTTCTCGGTAGATGGCTCGAGCGGGGTACAAGAATTTAAATTCAAAATCGAATTTAAATCAACATACTACGACTTCTGCAAATTGCATTAAAAAACGAAACTTTTAAAAGCAAATGAATTAACATTTGTGTAAAGGAAAACACAATCATCGTCCACATCATCTTATGTTGTTTGTGTGTCTTTAATAGATTAAACATTATTTTCACTTTATAAATCTCTGATTAAGATGTTTAAGTTGAATTCATAATTTTATCATTGATAATGTACCACCCATCTCTAGTGACAAAGTTTTAAAAATAAAAGTAATTTCTGTATAAACGGTTTTGTATACAAGTCACTATGGCGCTTACGTCTGGGCCTCCGTTTTTTTCTTGAAAGCGTTTAGCAGTAAGTGATTATGACATATTTAAGATATGAAGTGGGTAGATAATCTTCTTGCTTGTACATTTCACCAGGCGCGTGTACTACAAACCGATTAATACGCACAGTCTTTCTATTTATTGTTACTTTTTTAATGTAAACTCTATAATTCCGGGATATTGTGAACGTTGTTGAGATGGTCTTTAGACATAGAGGAACCGGGATAGCGAGGAATCCCCTCTTAAACTTGCCTGCACGAGGCTTACACATCTAGGGGATTAAGTGTAAGATTAGTGCATTGTGACATGTTTACACTTTAACCATTAGTTTGTGCAAAATCAAATTAATTTTTGACAAAATGAAGCACAAAACTGCAAAACATAATTGACAAAAAGTTAATGGGTTTTTACAATCAGTTAAATGTGGGCCTGGGTGAAGAGGTTTAGTGCATTTAACAGGCTACATGTAATGCTAACATTTGCATATAGTTCCGACTACACTTTACTATTAAGTAAACAATTTTGGAAATAGCCAAGTCTTATAAGTGAATATGTCTAAACACATTATAACTCGCTTAATAAATGTATAAACTGTGTATTTTACGATATTGAACTGCTAAAGAGATTAACAAGCGAGGTTTTACGCACGCGAAGGAATGGTCAGCTGTACAATACATATAAAATACTACCTTTTAAATATCTGGTTGTGAATATTTAAACTAAAGGACGGACATTCCAATACCTCCATACTTCTGTATAGTTCTCTGTTATACCGTGACAGGACGGTTACATATAAGTCAATACGTAAAGCTGCGGACCATCCAGGCAGAGCCAAGGTGAAGCTACGGTTCATGCCGGTGCTTCCCCGGTAGTTCCCGGGTGACGCAGGAGGAGTCCCAGTTGACCCAGGCAGAGCCCCGGTCGATCCAGGCAGATGCCCGACAGAGCCCAGAAATATCCGGGCAGAGCCCCGGTGGATTGAAAACTCGCGAAAATGAAATGATAACATTGATACATTATTTTCATTTAATATAATATCTATTGTTCCAGAACAGTAATTTATGATGATTTTCTGAAAAAAATCCTTATGCAAGACTGGATAGAAGGTAGATGGTGGGTTTTAATACAAACAAGTGCACTCATCATCGCAAATTGTCGTGATTCTTTTTAAATGAACCGGGCTTTACCGTGGCTCTACCGGGATCAACCGTAGCTCCATCGTCATCCTCTGGGGATCTGCGGCATTCATCGGGGCTTTGCCAGCATTCACCGAGGCTCTATTGTAGCTCTACCGGCTATATCATACCCCGGATCCTCCCCGGTTTGTGCCGGCAGAGCTACGGTGCTTCCCCGGTGTAACCCCGGTCGTTCCCGGTAGAGCTATGGATGGAGCCGGCAAAGCTATACTTTCCGGAACACCCCGGTGATATTTAATATTTTATTCCATCCGGGGTCGAATGCCGGATGTTCCCGGTTCATCCCGGACGTTGCCGGCAGAGTGACGGACGTAACCCGGTTGTTCCCGGTCGTACCCCGGTCGTTCCCGGTTCATCCCGGACGTTGCCGGCAGAGTGACGGACGTAACCCGGTTGTTCCCGGTCGTACCCCGGTCGTTCCCGGATCACCCCGGACGTCTACCGGGGCTCTTCCGGGATGTAGATGAGACCGCAGCTTAAGGCATTAAAGGTATCAGACATTTAAACAAAATGATAAAAAGAAACACGTGTACCCTCGCTTTACTTTATAAAAGGCGGTTATGAAAGTTTTGGAAGCCAGAACTATGTCCCCAATCATCTCAAAAGAAAAAAATGCATATGCATTGCTTTAATTTTCTACCTTTCATTTTTACCAAAGGTTGATTTTATTAACAATAATAGAAAATAATAATAAGTTTCACATAGTGATTAGAAGATTCCTGTAGCAGAATACTTGTACCAATCCTAATACTCATTTGCAGGTGAACGTTCTTCTTGTATGAAAATTAAAAAATATATATATAATTTACAAATATAAACAAAGCCTCTTTCTACTGACGAAAACGGTTTGGCATAACAATATGTAGAACGAAACAATAAACAATGCATAATTAACACAAAAAAAAGTTTAAACAGTGAAAACTATAAAGCAAAAAAAAACTTAATCTAAGAATGAAAAGGATTACATCAATGTAGACCACAACGATATTCGAAATCCGACTTTTAGTATTGCCATTACAAGGGACAAGCTGTTAAACTGAGCCTGCAATAAATAATTATTAAGACTATGTGTTTGAAAGTTTTTCTTTTTCTTATTTATATTAATTAAGAATAAATCTGCCTGTTAATTAAAATACGTGTTTCTGTCACAGTTTAGAACTGTTCACTATTTAGGGGAGAAATTGTGTAAGCAGCCACCTCAATCGCTACAGCCGCGGTTCATTATTATGTACCTAACAGGTTCGAGTTCTAGTCAAGCTGCACGGTTATCTCATCCTGTGACTGCATATAACCCAGAGTTTAATTCACTCTGCTCTGTAAACATCAGAAATTCTAGGACAAATATCAATGTAGTGGGAAAATATGTTATGGTTTAGAACTGTTCATTATTAAAACGATCATGTGTAGCCGGCCGGATAGATCAGTTGGTCTTCTGACAGTCATGGGTTCGAGTCATGGTCAGGCAGTTTCAGTCAGGTTTTAGAAGTGGTTTTTTAACTGACACATGTTTGATTCATTTAACAGATTGCATTACATTTGAAATGGACAAAGGCAGCTTTGTATGCATGATGCTTT